TTCTCTCTCTCTCTCTGCCTAATAAATCACTTTTCTGCAAAACTCTCTGGGTCCGACAGCTACTTGAACAAGCTACTGTGCCACCAGGGCTCTCTCCCCATTCTTGGGTGAGTGAGGTCCAAGGATCTGGGAAAACACATCCGATTGGGGAACAGTGAGCATCTTTGGAACACCCCTGCAACCTGTTCCTGTCCCCTGGTTACACAACTTTTATTGGAAAAAAAAATCTGCATGTAAGTGGACCCCTGCAGTCCAAACCCATGTTGCTCAAGGGTCAACTGTATTTCTCTAGGGTTTCTTAGTGACACTGGAGAAGGTGCTTTAAAATGCCAGTATGGTCTAGGCATGGTGGCTCACACCTGTAATCCCAGCACTTTGGGAGGCTGAAGCAGGCAGATCATCTGAGATCAGGAGTTTGAGACCAGACTGGTCAACATGGTGAAACCCCATTTCTACTAAAAATACAAAAATCAGCAGGTATGGTGGTGGGCATCTGTAATCCCAGCTACTTGAGAGGCTGAGGCAGGAGAATCATTTGAGCCTGGGAGGTGGAGGTTGCAGTGAGCTGAGCTCATGCCATTACACTCCAGCCTGGTGACAAGAGCCAGACTCTATATCAAAAAATATAAAATAAAGTAAAACAAATTAATAAGGACAGGTGCAGTGGCTCACGTTTGTAATCCCAGCACTTTGAAAGCCCACGGTGGGCAGATCACCTGAGGTCAGGAATTCAAGATCAGCCTGATCAACATGGAGAAACCTCATCTCAACCAAAAATACAAAAATTAGCTGGGCATGATGACGCATGCCTGTAATCCCAGCTACTCAGGAGGTTGAGGTAGGAGAATCGCTTGAACCTGGGAGGTGGAGGTTTCAGTGAGCCAAGATCGTGCCATTGCACTCCAGCCTGGGCAATAAAAGCCAAACTCCATCTCAAAAAATAATAATAATGATAATTATAATTAAAATAATAATTAAAAAAATACAGATGCCAGTATGTGGCCAAAGGAAGACTGTATTTTCACACAATTTGTGTTAGTCTAGATTCAGGGATGGCATTCACTGGCTGTCCCCTTGAGTAGCAGGGAAGGCACCAAGACCACCTACTTCCTGACGGGGGATGGAAGAGGCTTAGGCGCATAGACTCGCATGTGAAGTGCCAGAACAGAGACACACACAGCTCATTTTAGGGGAGAAGAGCTTATGGTGGTGGGGGTGCTCTCTGAGGATAATTTTCTCACTATGTTGCCTAGGGTCTCTAAAATCCAAAACACAGAACTGGGAAATTCCTGGAAAGGCCACAGTTGCTGTGATGTCATTCTCTGTTCGGAAGATTTCCACTGCTCATCTGTTTACTATCAAAAGTGTCATCTTGGGCTGGGCGCGGTGGCTCACACCTGTAATCCCAGCACTTTGGGAGGCTGAGGAGGGAGGATCGCCTGAGCTCAGGAGTTCAAGACCAGCCTGGCCAACATGGTGAAACCCCGTCTCTGCTAAAAATGCCAAAATTAGCTGGGTAATTTTGAAGAAAGGAAGGAAGGAAGGAAGGAAGGAAGGAAGGAAGGAAGGAAGGAAGGAAGGAAGGAAAGAAAGGAGGGAGGGAGGGAGGGGAGGAGGGTATGAGAGCTTATTTCTGGGCTCTGTAGTCTTTTAATTTTTTTAAATAATTTTTTATTTTTGCTTGCCATCCTTGTGCAGGGGCCATGCGACTCTTCTCTATATCTTTCCAATTTTAGTGTGTGTGCTGCCAAAATGGGCAATTCTGGGCTCTCCATTGTATTCTGTTAGTCTATATGTCTGTCTTTACACCAGTATTACATAGTTTATTTGTATTTATTTATGTGCATGTTACTGAAAGTTTATTATATTTCAGTAAAGAGCTAACAAAATGCCTTTACTTTTAAATTGGACTTTTAAATTTCAAGAGCTACAGGCTTTGAAAAAATTGTTTCATATTTAAATAAAAATTCCTTTGTATTTCTATTTTCTTTCAGTTAGACTCCATTACAGGCTTGTTTTCAGAAGCTAAAAAGCAGAGGAGCTAAAAGAAAATTCCTTCCAGCCCCCTGACCTCTCTGCTACTCTTTTTTCTAGTGTTCACAATTTAATGTCTTCCTTCCACTCATTCTTGATACTGGAACAAAATCATCTGTCTCATTCGGCCTTCATGAGAAAAACCCAAACCCAGCTCCTTCTCACTATCTCTGCTGGGAAGACCAGGGTCCGAACACGGTCCTCTCTTGTTGGGGTTGGTGCAGCTGCTTCCTGTTATGAACTGAATTATGAACAAAATTCACATGCAGAAGCCCTAACTCCCGGTGTGACTGGATTTGCAGATGGTGCCTTTTAAGACGTGAAAGGAGATGATGATGGTGGAGCCCTGATCCAATACGGCTGCTGTCCTTGGAGGAGGAGGAGACGCAGGGTGCCCACGCAGGGGACAGGCCACGTGATGACACAGCACAAAGGTGGCCATGCACAAGCCAAGGAGAGAGGCCCCCGGAGAAACCGAACCAGCCGACACCTTGATCTGTGACTTCTAGTCTCAAGAACTGTAAGAACACAGATGTCTGTGGCTGAAGCTGCCCAGGCTGCCGTATCTGGTCATGGCAGCCCCAACTGGTACAGCTCCCGACAGGTTTTTCTGTCCTGCCCTTGCCCACAGTAATCTATTTCGACATAGAAGCTGGTGAGCCCTTTCTGTGATACTGAGCAAGTGAGGAAAAGAAAAAAAAAGAAGCTGGGGAGCCCGTTGAGATGTGATCAGGGCGTGTCTCTCTTCTGTGTAAAGCTGCTGGCTTCCCCTTCGCCCAACCCAGCAGCAGCCCACACCCTGACACTGGCCACAGTGTCACTCAGCCTCTGCTCCCTCTCTGACCTTGTCTCCCGCAGTCTCGCCTCCTCGCCTGTGGCCTTTTTTGCTCTTTCTCGAACATTCCAAGCACAGTCCTGTCTTGGGGCCCTTGGCATTGTCCTCCCGCCCCAAACAGGCTCCCTCCAGAGAGCAGCGTGACTCCCTGCACGTTCTTCCTCCTCCTTCCAGGTGATCCTCAGTGTTCTCTTGTCAATCAGACACTCTTTCTTTTTTTTTTTTTTTGAGACGGAGTTTC